GCTGAGGCCAACCTGGGCTACATAGCGAAACCCTGTCTGAAAACAAACAAAAATAAATGCAACTAAAGAGAAATAGAAAACTCTTGACACTAAAGATAGCAAAAGGTATGATTATTATACAAATGAAATGAAGATGACACAGATACACACATACACAGGTAACAGTGTAGATGTGTGAAATAGATAAATGGGTAGGACCATGTGGATACTATATCATCTACAAGACATCAAAACCTACCTTGTTTATTTCATTCACAATAAATCCTTCCGAAGCTGTAACCGCTGGGATGCCATCTAGGCCAATTCCTTGACAAGTTAGGCTGCCATACAAAGATGGTTTCCCTACACAGTACAAAAGAAGCATGTCTCAAAAAATAAGAACTTGGTATTTTTCTCCTTAAAGACACAATTCACACATGTGTGTAGATGGTATGCCTATGGAAAAAAAATAGATTCCTAATTTGGGAGAGAATATACTGAAAGGCTAAAAGTTAGGAACAAAGATTTAGAGATATATTTATACAGAGATATATTTGTAGAGAAGTTGCCATAGTTGTCTCAACTTGTTTACTGGCTATGAAGTATAATTCTTCCATGGATGAAAGGTAAAGGTCATAGATTTATATATATAAAAAACACAGCAAAGAATTAAGCTTCAGTAATCTGGAAAATCTGCCTAAGTAGAACACTGATCTTTCAGTGATATGAGCTAAATAAAATATTTATTTTAAATATTTTAAAATATGTATTAGCCTATTTGTGAACATATGCAGATGGTAGAAAGAAGTTAAAAGACATTTTTCATGCTTCTCCTGGATTTTATATACTCATTTCTACAACAACTTATGACACAGTTTACATGTCTGACTTTGCAGCTAGACTATGAAGTCTTTGAGTTCAAAAACTAGATATAGCTGGGTGCCATGGCTCACACCTGTAATCCTAGCTACTCAGGAGGCAGCAATCAAGAGGATCCTGGTTAAAAGCCAGCCTGGGCAAATAGTTCAAGAGACCCTATCTTGATAAAATCCATCACACACACAAAAAAAAGCTGGTGGAGTGGCTCAAGGTGTAGGCCCTGCATTCAAAACCCAGTACTGGAAGAAAAAAAAAACCCTAGTTATAAGCTATTCAGTAAACACTGCTGCATCAACCTGAAGTTCCAGGAGTAAGAGGGAAATAGAAACCATCATGGATTCACACAAGAGGTGGGGGGCTTTGTTTGGGGGAGAATTGAGCAATAGTTTGAAAGCAAGATAGGTCCTGGCTAGAAAGAAGGTAAGATCATTTCCAAGTGATTTTTAGTTACAGACTCACTCTTCTTTACAATTAATTGTGAAAAAATTCTGCATTATCAGCTCTAACAGCATATAGCAGAGGTTCAACAAATATTTATTGAATGAATTTATAAATAAATTCCCTTTAACCTATGTCAACAAGAACAAATTTTAATTATTATGGACTTAAGCTAAAGAAAATAAAGTAATGGCTAGGGGTGGGCTCAAGTAGGAGAGTGCCAGCCAAGAAAATAAAGTAGAAAAGTCTAACTGATAAAATTTTCTGCACTTTAATTCTTTTTTAAAAAATGTGTTATTATCAGCAGGGTGCCAGTGGCTCATACCTGTAATTCTAGCTATTTAGGAGGCGGAGATCAGGAGGACTGAGGTTCGAAGCCAGCCTGGGCAAATAGTTAAAGTGATCCTATCTCAAAAAACTCTTCACAAAAAAGGGCTGGCGGTGTGGTTCAAGGTGTAGGCTCCAAGTTCAAACACGAGAACAGCAAATAAATAAATAATTAAATAATAAATTTTTATCATATTATTGTTACACTGGGGTCCACAGTGACATTTACAAAATGGACTTTAATTATTACATATGATTATATACTTTGAGAATTTTGTCAACATTTAACTAAACAAAAATGGTTCTTATTTCTAATTGGGTTTAAAAAAAAAAAAGGCCAGACATGGTGGTTCATGCCTGTAATCTCAGCTACCTGGGAGATGGATACTGACAGGATCACAGTTTGATACCAGCCTGGGCAAATAGTTAGTTGAGACTCCCTCTCAACAAAAAAGCCAAGCATGGTAGTACGTATCTGTAATCTCAGCTACCTGAAAGAAATAGGTAGGAGGATCATGGTCAAGACTACCCTAAGCAAAAACAAGACCCTATCTGAAAAATAACTTAAAGAAAAAGGACTAGAGGTGTTGCTCAATTGGTAGAGTGTCTGGCTAGTAAGCATGAAGTCCTGAGTTCAAACTTGTAATCCCATCTACTCAGGAGGCAGAGTTAGTGAACCCTATCTCAAAATCAAGCCAAGCATGGTGGTGTAAACATGTAATCCCAGCTACTTGGGAGGCTGAGGTAGGAGGATTACAATCTTCAGTCCAAGGCCAGCTTGGGCAAAGTTAGCAGACATCATACATGCAAAGTAAACTAAAAGCAAAAGGACTGAGTGTGTGGTTCAAGGGTAGAGTGCCTGAGTTCAATCTCCAGTACTGCAAAACAAAAGAAAGAAAAGAAAAGAAATACCCTGAATTTCTCATAGAAATACAATACAGCAATGGCATCTGAAATGATAATCAGTAAAACAAAACCTTCTCACAAAATTCAGGAGGAGGGTTGATTAGGTTTGGGAAGGGCTACAGTGGAATGGTCAGGAATGACAAAAGAGTGTCATCCAAGGGAAAAACTGGTTAAGTCTTGGGAGATGTCTAGATATGACTGGGTGAAGTAACTAGTTTTCACTCTGATGCCTACAAGAATGATGGTAACTTATGAAATGAGAAAATGAAGAAAGAGAATCCATCTGGTAACAAATGTGCTCAGAAACTTTAGTAAGCCAAGTATCTCAACATGACAGTGAGAACTTCAAGCAGAAATGTCTAACAAACAACTGTTCCATCTACTTGACCTTGAAGAAAAGTCAAGGCTAAAGCTGTAGATCCAGGAATTATCATCAGTAAGGCTACCCTTAAAGCTATAGAAGAGTTTGGAATACAACAACATAAGGCTAAGGAACTGATTCAGATGCACTAGCAAGTCTCTATGAATAAGGCTTCCAAATAAAAGATCTTGTCCTGTAATGGAGTGGGAGTGATGTTAGTAGAGCACAGGCTGGTCAAACATGTTTGAACAAGAGCATTGTGCAAGGAGGCTGGGCCAGCAGAAAGCTTTATTCTAGAGGTAGTAAATCCTTTAAAGGGATAACATACAGATTTATTGGACATTACCTGGGGGATGACAGCTCAGCCAGGCCTCCCCTTCATCTTTCCTGTGGCAAAAGACAAAAGCCTAATTAGGCTCACACAAAGGTGAACAGGACACTACTGGTACAAGGAGAGAACAAAGGTCATATAATCTCTATTTTGGTCATAGTACTTAATACATGATCTAGTTCAACTTCCCATTCGGGCATAGATCAGTCTAAAACAGTCAAATGTTATTTATTGTAGAATTAGTTGTGGATTAAGTATTTAATGAATAGATTAACTATTTGTTAAATCAATGCTCAAATACTTTGACCAATAGGGAGTTCATTTGAAAAAAAAATCATTATTATATCTAGGTATTTATTGGGATTACTGTAAAACAGACTGTGCTAGGCACTTTGCATACAGCATCATTAATCCTCACAACAACCAAACAAGATACTTTTTATCCCCACATTAAAGATAAAAAAAATTGAAGCTCACAGAAAAATCACTTAGTCAGGTAGCTATGAAGTTTGAATTAAAATCTGAGACTGGTACACAATGAGGTCTGTGTTCTTTTTAACACTTCACATTGACTTTTTATGTTTTAGAATACACCTCCACAGTCTTCCAAATCCCAATCTCTTTACCCTGAGTTTTAGGGCACAATGGAAAAGGCCTACGCTACCTGGGCATGGTGGCAGCACACATCTGTAATTTCAGCTACTTGGGAAACTGAGACAGGGGGTTCACAAGTTTGAGGCCAGAACAAGCAAGGTTAGAGACCCTACCTCAAAAACAAAACTGGGGATAGGGGCCTGGGGACATAGCTCAAGTGGTAGACCCTTTGCCTAGCAAGCACAAGGTCCTGGATTCAATCCTCAGTACTGCAAAAAGGGAAAAAAGGGGAGAAGGGGCTGCACTTTTGAAGAAAAAGATCTAGGTTGACAGCCACCCTGCAATGTACAACCTTAGGCAAGTTATGCCCTCTTATTCTGATCTTGCATTCTCTCACACGCCCCTTGAGGCACCTAATGTTACTGTTCTTCCTTTATTACATTCTGTATTCTAGTGAGCTATATTTTCAGTCCCACCTAGTAAGGTGTGCATTTCTTTTTTTTTTTCATCTCAAGTCAGAAGGTGTCTTAAGTGCAGAAGACTATGCTCCATTCATCTTCACCATGGTTTCAATTTGAAAAACTTTTATTAGTAATAATAGTCATTTATGGCACTGCTTTCACCCTGATGCCTAGAGAATTAATTAGCAGTGTATGATCAATAAATATATGTTAAATGAATTAATGGTTTGCTGCCTGGTCCCAACTAAGATACCAGTTTCTTGAAGCTGAGTAACCACTTAAATTTAGAACTCCACCAAGCACCTAATACAGGGCCTGGACATGGTAGGTGTTACACTGTTTACTGGACAGGACAGTCCAATATATCTAATATAGCGCCGGGGGGCCTAGGAAGACACAAAGACTCTATCACGTATGCAAAGTGGTAGGGAGTGCAAGTGTCTTCCCTACGCGCAGTTTCCCTTTCTCCAGCTCACTGATCCCAGTTCTGACGCATGATCACGGCGTGCACATATGTTCGTTTGGTCTCAGGATCGCTGTTCACAAATGGACCATGCAGGTTTGAGGCTTTTTCCTGGACCTAGTTCCCTTTACATCCTTGACCAGGCATGGTTCTCCTTGATGCAAGAGCAACATGTGCTACCCGCCTCCTCTCCCTGATTTGGGCCTGCATTCACCTGAGGACTTGGGCCCAGTCGCTCTGAATCCTCAAAGGCGCCGCCATCTTGCCCCGCCTCCACCAGCCCGCCTCTTCCGCCCCTTCCCGGAAGAGGGTCCCTCAGAAAGAGGCGCGAGGGCGGAGGGCGAAGGGCGGGATGTACACCAATGAAAAACAGGCAGTGGGTTTCCCCCGCCCTTCTGTATGCGCGCTCCCATGAGGACCTGGTTCCTGGAGAGCGAGGCGGACGGTTCGTAACTGGCGGCGAGATTCATGCCGCCGCGCCTTTCGAACTCTTTTCTACACCTGTTCGGTGAGCACCCCATCTTGGGTCCCGGGTCCTTGCGCGGCGAGGCATTGCGGACACTACGGGAGCGCGCTGCCGGACACGCGCGCGCATGCGTGGTCTCCTGCAAGTAGGATCGCTGCTTCAGGTGACCTGGCTGCCTGGGAATTTCTACTTCCCCATCCTTTTCATGCTTTCCTAGTCCAGACCAGCTGCCTCCACGATCCAGCTGCCAACCCTCTCGCCTGACCTCTAACCCTGACCTCTGAGCCGGAGTCGACTTTTAACTCCAGGGGAGACTGAAGCAGGATTGACTGAGTCCTTCTGTGTTCCAGAGCACTTTTCATTCGTTATGTCAATCCTCACTCTGATTCTGAGAGTTAACTACTGTTAATGAGGAATTTAAAAGATTGCATGCGTGGTAAGGCATGGTGCTAGGATTTGAATCTGAATCTCATGGTTTAGGATGCAAGGCACTTTGCATTCCGTTCTTCGAAGAGATTTGCTTCTAGCCTTCAAAGACCTCAGTGTGTTTTAGGAAGAGAAAACGTACAGTAACGGAAACTATTAATTTACCCAACTGGTTGTTCGCACCAGTCTCTTTACAAACATCATCTCTGTTTTTCAAAGATTGCTAAGTGACTTGCCTAAGAACACCCAGTGAGAGAACTATAAAGAACAAAGTTAGGTTTCCAATCCATGTCTACTCCAAAGCCTTTTCCCCTCTCAACTTAATCTGCGTCCAAAGAAAATGAGGTGTTTTTTCTTTTTTGTTTGTTGTGGTTTTTGGTGGTACTGGTGTTTGAACTCAAGGCTTTACCCTTGCACATGAGTTTTGTGTAGAGATTAAAAAAAAAAAGTGCCTCAATCCTTCTTTTGACTTTCCCATTGTCCTCAGGATAAAAGTCTTAAACTGCTTAAAGTGGCCTGCAAAGCCTTGTTAGGATCACTTAGTCATTCTGCCAGTTTTCATTTCTTGTCTTTTTCTTATATTTTCTCCAGTCACTGAAGTGTTTTTTCTTTTTGTTTTGTGGTGTTGGGGATCAGACCCAGGGGCCTCACACACAGTGGACATATGCCTGATTTTGATTACTTTTGATTACACTCATGTCAAGCTAACTCTTACTCCTCCTTTGAGTCTCAGCTTAGAAATCACTTCCTCCAGCAAGCCTTCCCTTTGTATTCCTACTATTGACTGTGTTTACAGTCCTGTCTGTGCACACTGTCCTAAACTCCCTGTTTACTTATCTAGGGCAGGAATCACTTCCAACTTGGCCACTCCTTTATACTCTAGGCTAGTACATAATAGATACTCATTAATCATCTGTTGAATGAATGAGATAGAGAAGAGACATTAATGGCAAAATTTGTATAGAGGCTAAAGTCATTTCTCTTCAAACGTTAAGTTCCTTTTTGCTACTTTGTGTTGGGTGCTCTTGAAACAGATAGTCTTGGGAAACAGTCTGGGCAAATACTCCTCACATTTGGGTATAGTTGACAAGCATTTTCACCCCATAGACTCATCTCTGGCCCTGCCTTCTGCATGCTCTGTGCTACAGCCACACTAAACTCTTTCCATCCTTCCCATGTGTCAAAACCTACCCATATCTGGATCTCCTTCCAAGTGTTAAGCTTTGTTCTTCAGGCAGAGAATAAGGCCAGTAGGAGAAAAGAGAAAAGTAATTATTTTGAAGTAGATCAGATGGCTTCTCCAAAAAGATAACGTTTTGCTTAATTCATATTCCGTTAACCAAATCCATTGAGCTTATTGAGTACTACGTAAAAATCACATACCTTATTCTTCAGTTTAATTCACACCATTTTTCAGGCCTGCTCTCCGTCCGGCCTAGTGCTAGAGGCACTAAGGTAAGCTCTGTATTTGTCCTCAAGGAATTTATAGTCTTCCAGGGCAGACAGTCACATGAATAGGCTCTAACAGTGCCTTTTTTCTGTGATATTTGTAATACAGGAATCTTACATATACTGTCTGTACTTTAACCTTGTCTATTGATATTCTAGACTCCTCAAGATGTCAACCTCAGTCCCTCAAGGTCACACCTGGACCCGACAGGTGAAGAAAGAGGATGAGGAAGAAGACCCATTGGACCAGCTGATCACCCGCTCTGGCTGTGCTGCCTCCCACTTTGCAGTGCAGGAGTGCATGGCCCAGCACCAGGACTGGCGGCAGTGCCAACCACAAGTGCAGGCTTTCAGGGATTGCATGAGTGAACAGCAGGCAAAGCGGCGGGAAGAGCTGCAGAGGAGGAAAGAGCAAGCCAGTGCCCAGCGCTGAGACCCTCACCACCTGTTCCAAGGATGGCTCTACAAAAACCAGCACCCACAGAGACTCTGAGAGGAAGAAATCCTAAGTGGTAGAAGTGAGGGCCAGGAAGTGTAAAACTTGGAAATAGTCTCTGGGACTAAGGATGAGAACCAGACACTGTGAGTTTGGACGTGATTACCACACAGAGCTATCATACTTTAATGGCATATTTCACACATTCTCACTTGTCTTGTTCCACCAGTACTTGTATGTAAAACAAAGAATGGGGTAAGGGAACTCCCCTATCACACCTCTTGGTTCAGTGTCCCAGGTACTGAGAGGATTGCGGGGACATTATAATTTCAGGAATAAGTTAAAGATTAAAGGTAAATTGATTACCTATCCAGGTCTTCATTTTTTTTCAGTCACAAATTCAACAGAAAATGTTTCTGAGGCATTGTATGTTGGAAACTGATATAACGAGTAATGCAACCTCTGCCTTCATGTTGTGTAGAGTCTAGTTTCAGAAATGGAGATAAAACACCACTGGAGCTGTTAACTTAATTTCCAACCATGAGTGCCTTTATCTTTCAAAAAGGGTATTTTAGTATATGGAAGGAAGAAAGGAAACAGACAACTATTTCAATAAATAATGAGTACCTGTTATATGCCAGACTCTGCCAATTAACAGATACAGAGTCTGCTCCTTCCCCAGCCAACACACAGAGTTGGCCTGACATTTCAAAAGTATGTTTAACACTACAGATTTTCAGCTTTTAGAAACTGGGAGCTTATAGTCCTGCTTCTCAACGTCTTGCCAAGCTGAATGGTATAATGCTTCCTTTTAGAAATTTGTGTTATCCCATTCATAAAAGTTGCCATTACTTATAATCTTGCACATTCCTGGAGTGGGAAGAGGCTTGGGAAATGACCCCTGCCACAGAAGCAGGAATGCTCTTGCCATTGTAACAGACATTTCTTGAGTACCTGTATATTAGACCCAAATCTGAAGTACAGTAGAACCTAAAATCTACTGGTATTTTAGAGAAAAGGGAATGAAAATGAAGAAGGTATGAGGAGTTTAAGGAACAATAAAATATTATTTCAGCCAAGTGCTGGTGTCTCACATCTGTAATCCTAATTATTCAGGAGGCAGAGATCAGGATGATCGAGGTTTGGAGCCAACCCCAGGCAAATAGTTTGTGAGACCCTATCTCAAAAAACCCTTCACAAAAACAAAGGCTGGCAGGAGGGGCTCCAGTGGTAAGAACACCTGCCTAGCAAATGTGAGACCCTAAGTTCAAACCCAGTGCCACCAAAAAAAAAATATTTATTTCAAACTGAAGGAATGACCAGGTAAATAAAGCTGTCTGTATCTGGAGGCCCATCTGTCCTCAGTGCTGTGGGTCATCAGAGGGAGTAAGCACTGCTGGAGCTGTCAGCAAGAATCTCCAGATTGAACCTTTAAAATTGAAGTATAAATTACCTATTTGTAAGAAAGGATTGCCAACTGGAATAAATGAAAAGTACCCAGAAGTCAAGATGAAAAGGCATAGAAAAATATAAATATGTTCTATGTCACAGATAATCAGAGAAATGCAGACTTTAAAAACAAAGTATTAGCTGATTCTCCTGACAAAAATGAAAAGTATCTATAATTGCCAGTATTGGTTGGGACAGGGAGAAACAGGTATGTCCACACTAGTGAAGGGATCAGAGTAAAGCTTTGGGAGGGCACCTGATGGTATCCATAAATATTTTAAATATACAAACAGTAATTACTCTTAGAGATCCTCTGAGAATTTTACAAGACATATATGCATTACAGCACTGTTTACAATTATCATAATTAAATTTCCATCAATAAGGTCTCTACTTGGGGCTGAAAGTACAGCTCAAGCACTACAACACCTACCTTACAAGCTGGAAGCCCGGAGTTCAAACCCCAGTACAGACAAAAAAAATCAATAAATAAGGTCTCTTTTTGGTTGTAATTCAAATCTTCTACAGGAGAAATGTTTGTGTACAGTGGTCCTTCACTCGTGATATGGTTATATCCCAATAAACACCCATCATAAGTTGAAAATATAAATAAAAAATGCATTTAACAGCCAGGCAAGGTGGTGCATGCCACTCATCCCAGCACTTGAGAGGCTGAGGCAGGAGGATCACAAGTTTGAGGCCAGACTGAACTACAAATTGAGACCCTGTCTGAAAAAAAAAAAAAAAACATTTAAGCAGAAGAAATACTAGGGAAGGGATCTAGTGGGGAGGGAAGAAAGGAGGGCAAAAAAGAGTAGTAGAGAGAAGGGATATGTGATCAAAGAAACACTGTATAGGCATGTATGGAACTATCACAATAAAACCCATTAATTAGTATGATAACATGATTGAGTCATTATTTTTTAAAATGCATTAAGGAAGCATTTGGGCACATACCTTTAGTCCCAGCTTCTAAGGAAGCTAAGGCAGGAGAATCACAAGTTCCAGGCCAGCCTGGGCAACATAGCAAGAACCTGTCTCAAAAAAAGAAGCACTGAGGGCTGAGGTGTAGCTCAGTGGTAGAGTTCTTGCCAGCACTTGCCAGCACTTGCCGAGCACTTGCCCAGGCCTGACCTACTGGACATCATAGTTTAGCTACACAGTTCACTATAGAGTGTTAGTTGTTCACCTTCATGACCTTATGGCTGAGTGGGGGCTCGGATTCACTGCCACTGCCCAGGATCATAAGAATATTATACTGTATATTGCTAGCTTAGGAAAAGATCAAAATTCAAGAACTGAAGTACAGCTTTTACTTTGGTCCATTGTTAAGTAGAAAAATAAATAGAGCCACCGTAAGTAGAAATCATCTTTTAATTTGTGTAATTAAAAATACTAGGTCATGGAAGTAGTAAGGTGATGTTATCAGAGAGGTTTAGTGAATCACCATCCTTAGCAGAAAGAATGGTTTCCAAACCAGCTAAATGGAGGGCGCAAATTTCGGAGGATTCCAGCTCTAACAGATGTGTTGGTCAGTTTTCATTACTATAAAATTTACCTTAAAAAAGAGGAAAGATGTATTTTGCCTCACAGTTTAGGAGGTTCTAGTTCATGGTCAGTTGATCCCACTGCTTTTGGGGCTGTGGTGAGGCAGCACATCATGGTGACATGTGCTGGAAGCAGTTAGTTCACCTCCTGGCTAGGAATGAAAAAAAGAGGAAGAGGGGCCGGGGTCCTATGAGAATCAACTCAAGTCAGGTCTTTTCTCTCAAAGGAGTTAATGAATAGCTACCATTGTGTAGATGCTAGCTAACCTCCCCGAAATGCTGTCTACATGCTTTGTGAAATGTTGCTTGACACTGCAAGGTTCTTGTGGTCAAAGAGCTCTGTATTATCAGATGTCCTAATCTCAAACTGCTTGCTTACCATCTTAAAGTTTCATTCCTTTGAGTATGTCAACTCCTCCTCTAACTACATTAGAGAAAATGTCAGCCTCCCTGTCTCCTATCTGCAGGGGTCCTTCAGAACTCACTCTCTCACTGAACTGTAAACCATGAGTAATCACTCTCTCACTGAATTGTAAATGTCACTGCACCAGAAAACCTTGTCCTTAGCCCAAACAAAAACTAGCCTCTGAGTTTTGTGAGGCCAAATGTGGACCAGTCAGATTCCCACACAGGTGTACTCTGCCTATCAGATTTAGGTCTGTGGCTGCACCCTTCAGCAGAAGTACAACTTTTTTTTTGCCTTGGCAAGCAGCTCCCAAGTGTTTCTTTGATCACTATTTGGGAACAGCACTTCTAATAGTCCCAAAATCCTATTCAGGGGCACACCCAGATTTCCCATTAGGCCCTACCTCTTAGTTTTCACCACTTCCCAATAGTGCCACAAGCCAGGAGGGAGAGAGGGCAAGCCCTTGGGGGCTTCTCCAAATCATAGCAGGTGAGCTAGCACTGGGCGGGTCACATGATGCATCTGATTAGGTAGAGAACTCTGTTGCCACACACAGCCTATTTCTTTAATTAAATGGGGGCTATTACTTCTTTTCCTACTAAGAAAATTAAATGAGGATGGTAGGGGTGTAGCTCAGTGGTAGACTGCTTGCCTAGCATATAGGAGACTCTGGGTTTGATTCCTAGCACTGAAGAAAAAATTAAATGAGGGAATGATTATATATAGATAGTAAAAATGATTTACATTTATTGAGTGATGATAGTATTTATTGAGTATTTACTTCAGGCAATGCAGTTCAAAGACTGCTGCCAATCGCTATGTTTAACTGCTTTCA